TATTTGAAGTTGATGTATATACATATAATTGAATATAATAAAGCAACATTTCATACATATTTCATCATTTCATCATTTTTCACATATGTTTCTCATAAACCATTTTAAAAAAAAAAAAACAAAATATATTTTGACTTTCGAATCCTCTCCTCCCAGAATAATGAAAATGAGTGCACTTTCGTTACTTTCACGCATTAAAAACAAAAGGTAAAAATCAACTGCATACAAAAATCGACAACTTATCTGATAAAATTTCAAAACTTTATACGTCGGCAAACAGGAAATATTATAACAGCCTGAAAATTCATTCTTTACGACCACGAGAACACCAACATGGACACTTTCTCTTTATATTAAAACTTGCTGCACAGCATTTTCCAAAGCAAACACCAGACAAACCAAATAGTAAGACCGACAGACTGAGAGACTGAGAGACAAGCGGACGGATGAAATATGTACATCGTACATAGTGCGTCGTCCAGCATAGCATTCAGTATGAAGCTTAAACTAAAAGCTAAAATAAATGCAAAATAACACAGGCAGGCGGGATATATTAAAGTTAATCGCAAAAAAAAAAAAATATTGCCAAAAACGTCGCAACTTTCCTGGCGCGTTAGTTACACATCGTGTTGCTACCACCAACCATCAGAGATATAACCAACGCATTCAATGCCGACAAAATCAAGTTCATCAACGCATCAATAGTTCCGGCTTCTGATATTGAACTCACTCAAAATAGTGTAAGCGCATACGTGTATCTGCGTTGACATTTTACTGAAATACCAAAAAACAAAATAAAAAAAAAATATAAAAAATAGAAAATAGAAACGAAGTATACACAAATCAACCGAAACAGCAAAATTTCGTTTTTGAAAAATAACTGATTTTAAATAAAATGAAAACACTGTTAAAATTGTTGTTTTACGCATTTGCCATTTTACCATCAATAATCGTCAAAGCAATGAATCGAAATACAACATTGTAGCATAGATACTTTTCACAGATACAAATTTGTTCGCAAACGCGAATCCAAAAGCTGCTCCATTCAACTCAAAAGTGAAGACATTGATTTGGCAATGGTAGACGCGCACATTCGTCCATGTCTAAACAAAGCTGTTAACCCATTTCTTTTGCATGCCTAGTATTTACGCACATGCAAAAGGTAAAATTTAGTAAAGTAAACAAAACAATTCACCAATCCGAAGCGCTGCAACGATTTTCCACTTTTTTTTAATTTTCTTCAAGAATTACAATTGCATTTGGACCAGTCGGGCAGAAAGATCTGCTCACGCATGCCTTATGCCGTATGCCGTACGTCGTACGCCTCATGCCATGCCACAGATTCTGCAACATAACCAAGCGAAATAAAATGAATGGAAATAAAGAAATCCAATAGATATAAATTTCGCATTGAATTGACGACGACAGGTTTGGCTCGTACCAAGGCGACTTTTACGCACCGCAAGCCCGACTGACACTCAACTCAGCTTTTATTTGTAAACAACTTCGTTGTAGTGAAAAAACGTCGTAAATAATTTTTTTATTAACGAGAAAATATATTTTTTTTATTTGCAACAAAAGGAACTCAAGTCAATAGGTTTCTAAATAAAACAAGTGAAGTCTTCAAATAATAGACTAACATCAGACGTAAGATCCTTAAACGTACGCAAAAATCGAACATTTTTGAGAAGACCATTTATCTTTTTGATGAATGTAAGTAATTAATAAAAAAAATAATAAAGATGCTACCTTAATACTACAACTATATAAATGATTCCAATGAGGTTCTCTATTGTTTCAGATTAAATATAACCTTAACTTAAATAGGTATGACTGCAATTCTCAACAGCACTTGTTTTTCTATACTAGAGGGGTCAGGGTCACGTATTTATTTCTTTAGATGTCCGAATATTTTTTAAAAATTAAAATACTTTTATTACGTGTTTTTAGTGATAGCTATATAGCACTTATCTTCTTATGTTTAATATTTTTAGTGCAATTAGCCAACACTTGAAAGTTAAAACTATCTACAGTAAATAAAACTACTTTGAATGACAACATTTTAGGCATCTAATATTAATAATATAGTAGTCTTAATATATAAGATATATATGATATAATAAGACCTAAGTAGATTCTTAAGATTGGAATCATAACTAATGTTAACAATTTTTCATGTCATGTTGATAAATTTATTGAATCCTTTCTTAGCAAATTAGGGACCTACAATAAATTATTAAATCTTATTACAGTTATATGTACTACAAGTGTGATATTTAAATGAATGTTTTCTGTACTATGGATGTAACTTGGATTGATTTGAACCAATTGTTACACAAATTGCAAGAGAGATCTGTAGCGTAAAAACCTACCATATCGATTGATAGGCGTGTAAGCATCTTGTTTGAATGTGGCTTAGAGTTTCTTGAAGCTTAACAGTCAAATCCATGTTAAGTCTGTTGAACTCTCATTTAAAAATAGATATTTGGAGATCTATATAAAAGTTTTTATTTCTGATAACATTCACTTAATTGAAAGATTAACCTGGTGTCAGCACTTTGAAAAATATATATAACTTTATAACTTAGTGCTATTAAGTGATGTGTCTTACCATAACCATAACAACTTGATTATGAACTTGATCTTAAAATAGAGAAGCAACATTTGATAAAAAACATTAAATCTTAGTATTTAAGATATCTAATTCATGTATGCAGAATAAGTTTTAAGCAAGTGGCAAGGGACAAGATTAATCTGTGGGTGTGATCTCCAGATTATGATTAAAACCAAAGTAGTATGAAACCGTACAATTTGAAGAGATCGATAACGAAAGCATTAGTGCACCAAAGATTATAATGCTAATAAAGTAGAAGGTTAAAGACCTAGAGATTTCAGTCATCATTCTCATTTTTACATAAAAAAATTTCAATAAAACATATTTTCTAGTGTATTTCGCCCATTTGGAACAATCCTTCAACAATAATAACTAATTTAGTAAACTATAAATAAATTAGTCAGAAAATATTTTTACCCCTCTTTCCGTTAAAAAATATTTTCTAGTATATCTTTCTTGATTCCCCGACACAATTACAAAATTGTGATTGTTTTTGAACTGTAAACCAAATTTGTCTAATACAGGGTTCGACTTATGGAGACTTCGAGTTAAAGAATTTTTTGCAATTGTATGTAATTCGTCTCTATACCCTATTCCACTCTATTTAGTTCGAGTTATAGAAAATTCGAGTTTTAGAAGTTCTAGTTATGGAAGTTTGACTGTATATAGTACATACCAGCCCCCTTTTACCATAATCCTGCCTACGTCACTGATAGTGAGAAAAATGGATGTTATATAGTGATATATGACAAGAATGAAAAATAATGTTGAACTTAGTTTTATTATAATAGTCATCCTACTAAAAGATTTTTTTGGGAAATTTAAAAAGGTTTACTTACCTATTATTATTTGGCCATAACAACCCATCATCGTTATTCAATCTGTCACAGCACTTCTTTACTAGAAGTAAATTAAAGATAAAAGGAAAAAACAATATTAATGGTGTTTGTAGCTATTTTATCATTTAATTAGGAAACATTGATACTTTCGTTGTGGAAAGTACGTGTATTTTACATATAAACCCTAAAATTTTGACATTTTCTTTGGAAAAAACTAGACTGGTAAAAGTTGAAATAGGATTTAAGTCTTACACACAATTGAATTAAATTTTCTTTATTCAAAATGAGAAAAATGAAAAGAAAATCTATGTCGCTTTAAAATTTTAATCCTAAAGAAATAAAATTGCAATTAGAAAGTGAAAGAAATTAAAATTATTTTACTTTAATTTTAAAGCAAAAAGCAAAGAAAATTAACGCATCACATATTTAATATAAAGATAAAAATTTTTATATATTATTGTTTTCTTTACAAGTGATTGATGATGATCTACGCACACTAGATACTAGATTGCAGATTATCATCACAACTGACATTTACTACAAGTCTTAACGAAAATCTCATTTTACAGCAGAGATAAACTATTCTGTTGCACAAACGTTTATAATCCTGATGTGATTATTTGCTTTCAAATAAAAAATGTATATATACATAAAATACACGTAAAGGAAAACAACAACAACAGAAAAATAATTTCTATTAGGAAAATTTGTTCAAAATGAAAATGCGAGTGAGTGTGACGAGCTCTTAATGTCAAAGTCACTCAAACAAATAAAATAATTCCAGCCGATCACAACATTGCACAGCATCCAAATTATAGAAATTAATGTGCCCTGCACTTGCAATATCTAAAAATAATAATTGAAAGAAATCGCAACAACGGAAGCGCAAAGCCTGCATAACCCACTCTCCCATGCCGGCCCAACGTCTTTTCCTGTATAAATAATTTTAACAACACTGCCAAGAAGGCAACAAGTGTAAAGCTTAAGCTCATTGCTTTATGCAGATAAGGAACCAACCACACGCTCTCCCTCACGTATAGACGCCAGAGTCTTAGTCGGAATTTTTGTTAATTCAAACGCGTGACTCACGACATCCAATAAGCATACGCAAAAGTATCTAGTATACACGCTTCTTTTATTGAAGAATTGCTTTCCTCCAGAAAAAAGTCTCAACTACAACTTTGAAAAAAAACACACATACTTGGAAGCTATTCAAAAAATTACTCAATGATTAAATTCCAATTATAAAAAAATATAAAAAAAAACATAATGTATAAAAAATATAATTATTGTGACGATGTTGAAAATGATGTTGCGAGTATTCGAAAGACAGCGCTCACTTTATTTGTCGTTCTATTGAGCCAAACATTCAGTTTCTTATCCGCAACTATTCGAAAATTCATTTTTAAAAGTTCTCTGTTTTCTACGACATAGAACAGCTGCGAAATAGCTCAGTACTTCGGCATCAAAAATTTCGTTTATTCAAAATAGTTTTAGAGCGAAAAGCGAGAGTGCAACAATCAAATTTTTATCAAGAACCCAGAATTATGGGTCTTAAATGGACTGTAACAATTTTTATATTTTCAGTTATTTGTTGTGAATTCTCAACTCCATGGATGAGAGACAATAGCTACGTAGCAAAAAAACGTACCGATCTAAAACGAAGATGCCCTAATGTAAGTCCCTGATTAAAACCAAAACACTACGCATATATATATGTACAAAAACATAAAAATAATTAGTAAAGTTGTGAAATATAATATAAAATAAATATAATATAATATATATAACATTAGTAACTGATCGAAACAATAACAAGATAAAATAATTGAAAAAGTGATGACAACTAACATATATAATAAAAAATACAAAAAATATACATAAAAAATATATAAGAAAATAAATAAATATATAATAAATTTTTTGAAAATTTAGAACATAAGCAAAATATAAAATAAATACATAAAAAATTAATTAAAAAATAAATTAAAAGAAAAATTGCTATATACGCAATTCATTGCAAATAATTTTTAAGATAAAGGCCAATTATAAAGAGCGCAGTTCTCGGAGTTTTATACTTAGTCAATAAAACAACTTTATTGTGAAACAAAAGAAACAAAAAAAGAAATATATCTTAATAAAAACAATAAATAAAAACGATTAAAAAATGTTAAGAAAAATATGTTAAATAATTTATAATACATTTTCACCGATTTATCAATATATGAAGTTAACCACTTGACTACTACTTTAAGGAAATTATGTTTTATAAAAATGTTTTTAAAATCATCCAAGTAAGCATCTAAGAAACATCTAACAAAAACACTAAGTTTGTGGAACTTGAATAACTAGCCTTATTCTAATATATGCTATTACGTTTACAATATGTTATATATTATTCTAAATTGATCAGAGCTAAAATTAAAGTAAATAATGTATCCGTATCTACATCAATTCAAATAAAATTTCAGACATACTCATATATCAAATATTATTCGCATACACAAGAACTTAAATATTTTTGATAAATCATGAAATATATGGTAAAGTATTTGTTGGGATACTTTTAGAACAGGGTGTGTTTATTTTGACCAACTTGAATCCCAAACATGGATTAATGGTTCGGAACTACGCCTAAACAACCGCCAATTTCTGTAGAAATAATGACCTCTAAATATAAGTGATATAATATAATATATAAGTAAAGTATATAATATATATAATATATTAATTTATAATATATAATAATATAATAATATATAATAATTTAATAATATATAATAATATAATAATATATAATAATATAATAATATTTAATAATAATATTAATTTATAAGTAAAATATTGAACATCTTCTATGCAAGCCTATAGAAGACGTTTTCTTAAAGCACCCTTACTATATTCGCAATCCGGGTATACGGATATTCACGCATAACATGGAAGATAATAATTGAGGTACCAGAAGTTAAGAGATCGGTTTTTGATATAGTTAAATATAAATTATTTCTAATTTCCCATTGTACTTTGTACAAATGTAAAGGTTTAAATGTATATATGCATCAAATTAATTAACAGTTAACATAGTGATTCAGACAATATATAAATATTTGTAATATTACAGATAAATAATACCACTTTTGAAAGCCTC